CTCCTACCGCCGTCCGTCTCTTCTTCCTTCGTCTACTCTATATATTCTTCTCTTCTTCTTCTTCTTCTTCTTCTTCTCTCTCTTTCTCTCTCTCTCTCCCTCTCTCTCTCTCTCTCTCTCTCTCTCTCTCTCTCGCACCCTCGCTTTCCCTCTCTCCTTTTCTCTGGCTGTCTCTCTGTCCTTGTCGCTAGCGCATCTCTCACTCGCTTTCTCTCACCCCTCTTTCATCGTCTCTGTTTCTCCCCCCCCCCTTTCCTTCGCTATTTCATACGATATAAGTGTCACCTATCGTAACTCGTGTCATATTCAGCCATTATTTAATCATGTGCGTACCCTCAATTATCACAATGATAAATAAAAACAACCCGTATAAAGAAACGTGCGCAAAGTCTTTATAATAATCAGCCTCGGCGCTTATTCTCAAATCTGGTTGTTTTGTCGGGCAACGCAAGAAGCAATTATACTTGTCTAAAATTTACCTGCAATCTATGAGCCGTTAAGCTCCATTTTTGGTTCTGTGCATATCATATTACAGTTACGTTGTGCGAATTTCATTATGACTTTCTATGTATATACTCAGTATATACATGGAAAGTCATAATGAAATTCGCACAACGTTTATTTTTCGCATCATCAAATGAGAATGCGAACAAAGTATACCAGAAGTAAATAATAGGGAAACACTATTATCTTCCTTATTATCTACTTCTGGTAATATTGAGCAGAAATGATTTATTTTATCAATACTGTATTATCGAGTTGTCCGATCGGGCTACTAGCCAAGAGAATAACTTGTCCGAAATAGACATTCACTTGTCCTTGGTAATTGGACAACCGCTAGTGTAGAGGGGTGATTCTGAGGTTAGGGGGCAAATTGCTGTCCTGGCCACCCTTGGTCAGAATTCTTCAATGACTTGCCACTAAAATGAATCAGCATCCAAAGGAATGAGCACTAAAATGGATTTCATATACATAAGATTTCTTAAAAAAAAATTAAGTTCAATGTTCAGATGGTTTCGGAATGGCCTGTCCTAACCCATGGTAGCCAATTTTCCACCAATGATTTGAAGCTGTTGTCATCATTTAGGGATGGGAAATCTAGTTTGGGTGGGGTTGCTATTGTTTCAACTGTAATTCAGCCAAGTTTCATGCGCCTGTGACAATAAGTGTAATAGGGGTAAACCTCAGACCTATTGTAGTGAATTTTTATCAACTCCGTTACGACTGTATTGTGCTGCCATCTATTCATAGACAATGGTGTTACCCAATGGCCAATCAGATCCAATCAGACCAAATCAGACCAATCAGACCAATCAGACCAACCAGCATCACATTTCAAGGGGAAAATTTGCCAAAAATAAATGCGTACTTAAATGCATTCATCACCTCTGTTACGCAAATTAAATCATAACATCATAAATTGAGGAAGACAGGCATATTGACCGCTTGAGTAAAACATATTATTTGCATCTTGCCCTTGCTCCATGTGGAACCAACAAGGTCAAACATGACAAAATTATCCACTCCGTTACATCAACTCTGTTACAAAATTGTAACGGAGTTGATGTATAGGCCCTTATAAAGGTATACAAAAAAGTAAAAAAGTAAAAAAGTGTAATAATCTTTGTGGTTTCAGGGCCACGGTGTTACAAATATTGGAAAAATTCCATAAATATGCCAAAGGGATGATAAAAAAAATTCAGTCATTTAAAACTGCAATTTGCCCCCTAACCTCAGAATCACCCAGAGACAACTTTACAATGATGTAGGTGTAAATAAATACATATATATATAATATTGACATATAGATTATACATGTATTCGCCAATTTGCATTAAAAGGTCATGCAGGGGATACACGGATCATCCAATGATCCATGCGCTTGTGAACGCAGTCATCGCACGAAGCCTGAGGAAACGGACCGCCAACTGAAAGATAAGTGCAGTTTTAACAGAACTTACTATTCTCATGATATTGTACCTGTAGCATGTAGAGGTTAGCGCAATTGTAATAGATATTGTCTGAGAAGTATTTTGATTTGCAGGAAATTAAGCCTTTGTTAAGAATGTATGGCAGTATTATACTGTATGTTAACATAGAATTGATATTCTATATACATTTTTTGTAATTTATATAAATTTTTCACGGGCTGCGTCTGTGCGTACATGTCTGGGTGTGTGCGTGCGTGCGTGTGCGTGTGGGGGCGGGGGCGTGTGTGTGTATGTGTGTGTGTGTGTGTGTGTGTGTGTGTGTGCGTGCGTGCGTGTGTGTGTGCGTGCGTGCGTGCGTGCGCGTGCATCTCTCTCATGCCGGTGAACGTATGCAACACACCACACGAACACTCGCATACGCGCGCACGCACACTCGCATACGCGCGCACGCACA